AGCAGGTACGACGCCACCCACTCCTCGGACAACCCTTTCGACCCAGTCCCATGTGCTTTCCACGGAAACGGCCAGTCGTGATGGCACTTTTTATCGCCCATATCCTCTGCAGCGTTCCAAGGTGGGGTTGCCACCCCTCCCCTCAACCAGTCAGAACTCCAACCAGCCAATTTACGCCCTGGCTTGCAGAGATAAGGCTGTCCGCCGTTGGCATGTGAAAGCTGGCCCAAGCTCCTTCCAGGTTGTCTCGGAGTACCGTCTTCGAGATCGGGAGCTCGGAAGAGCTCGATTGTTTCTAGGGATGATGTCCTTTAAAATTATTGGGACTATTCGCTCGTTGGCCGTTTCCGGACCTGCAAGATACTCAACGCAGCAAGGTACTCTGGTACTCTGGTCCTGTCGTTCTGTAGTTTCGCCAAACCTGGCGATCTCAGTCCGCAGAGTCAGTCCCGGCAATCGCACCCGGCCAGGTTATTCCTTGGTTTGCCAAGGTGCGATATCATCACCGCTGGCGCAATCATTTCGAAAGATGTCATCACCAATTTGTAGCACAGCATTCCCTCAGAGACTTGCATTATTAACCGCCCAATAATGGCTGGGAATTGATTTTGTAACCATCTCCCTAGACGCAGCCCGCTCCCTCGGACACGATTCACCGCCGAGACCGTTCAGTACCCAAGCCGAGATGTCAAATCAACGACCCACCCACCAACCGATGGCAGGCACGGATACTGTTTCCGTTGGGACCCGCATGGCCTCGATGCAACCCTCGAACGTGCGACACGGCGCCTTGGCGGCTTTCACATGTCAGAAGCAGACAGGTTGATTCGCCCGCGATGTCAGGCGTTTTGGAGACGAAGGCAAAAAATTTGAAAACTTCGAGGCCCGGATGCGGGACTCGCACCGTCATCTACACTCCTGTTGTATCTTGGCCGACCATGGCCGAGGGATTTATGCTTGGAGCATGATGGCATCATTGGAGTTCCTCGAAGCTTTGGCAATTGGGAGGAAAGACAGCCCACAGATCGGGACGAAAAAACCTCTCCTTCAGACCTTGTTCGGCCCGAAACGTAGGCATTCATCGTAAAGCGGGGCCGTGGCAGACCCACGACGACAAGCCTGTTTTCCGGCTCAGCTTCCCTCGGCCAGACGAGATTGCCCAGGGTTCAATCCCAAAGATCTTTTCTGGACAAGGCGGGGGCCGATGAACCAACATGCCACATCCAGATAAAATAGCGTGATAGATAAGTTAAGAACATGGCAGACAGTGTCTCGCCACGGGTGATCAACGAGGTATCCGCCACTATCGAAACGGACACCTCCATGATCCTGGCCGCAGGCTCGGCTGTCCGTTGAGTTGCCTTGATTACTATGAAACGTTATCGCAATGGGCGTGCTGATAAACTCGAACATTTTCACATGTTCAATCACTTGCGAGGTAGAGTGTGAGTCTTTGAGGATAGCTGCCCGACTGAGTAGGTAGCTGATATGCAAAATGTTTCCACCTTTGCCGCCGTTGGCACTGCCTAGCAGCATTGCCAAGATGGCAACGTCTCTGAAGGCTGAACTCTACTAGTCGGCGTAAGTACACATGAACATAACGGATATGCACAGGATCTCAGTATATAACGTTGCAAGCGTTCAGTATTATTGGGAATAAAACGTTGCAAACGAAAGACATCGGTTTGGAGCCGTAAATATAAGACTATCCGCAGTTAGTTGCAATTATCATTAACATGTCATCCACATGATGTCCGTCGTGTCTGTGCCTTCCGCCATACTAGGATAGGGTATCATGTCCTGGAATGACTATCCTAAATTACATCAAGCCGTCATCCTCTAGACAGCATACAAAAACTCCAGTAGTTTCAAAATAACGACGATCTCAGTCAAGTCAGTCAGACTCATCCGTCGACCCGTAATCAACAAGCCCACCCTGAAGCCTCCTTTCTCCAGGCACCTCTTGAATCTCTCCATCCTCCTCGTCGCGGCCGACTGTAACACTACTAGGAGCGACCTCCCGACCATATGGAACACTGCCGTAGTCAGCTTCCCGACCGACTGTGACGCTGCTAGCCCCCCAGTCAATATCCACCCGCGACCCGACACCGAAAGGCGCCTCAATGGTGGCGATAACCTCCCCACCGTCACTGTTAACCTCTCCCTCCTCAGCCTCCTCCCCCGGCTGTTCGACAACCGCCTGCGGGGGGCCCCTCGTGTCATGCCTGGCCCTCTTCCCTCCCCTCCCAAACCCACCCCTCACACCGCCTCTCTGACCCCACTCACGAGCTTTATACCCACCCTCAAACGCCCTTTTCTTGCTGTTGTTGTTGGTGTTATTCCCACCAGCAACCCTCTCACCACCACCACCACCCCGCACCCCCCTCTCCCTCTCCAAACCCTCCACTCTCTCTCCAGCGCCCCGCGGCTGCCTCCGCTCCCCCAGCCCCACCACACACCCCTGCGGCACGCCCCATCCTCTCGGCACCGCCATGACCGTAGGAAACTCAAGCACCGTCCGACCCGCCAGCGCGCTAGCAAGGTTTTCGGCCGCGCTGAGCGGCACAACCGTCTTGTTCGTCTTGCGAGGCCGGTCGTCTTTGGCGGCGGCGGCGGAGCCGGTTGCGGCGCCGACGAGGTAGAAATCCCATGTTAGGAGCTCTTCTTCTAGGGTTCGGTCGATGTGGGGGTGGGTGGTTGTCTGTGACCAGGCGCTGGTGAAGGGGTATTGGGAGGTGTGGGGGGCGGCGGGCCAGGTGGAGGTTGATGGGTCTTGGGTTGGCGATTGGTATTGGGGTTGCGGATGCTTTTTGTTGCTTTTGTGGTTGGCATGGAGGGTCTTGCGTTTCTTTGGGGGCGGGGGGGAGGAAGGCTCGTCGGGGTCGGATTCGTTGTCGGTCTCGGCTGGGTCGGGCTGGCCATGGCTTTGGCGGTCGAGTTGGCCGCGGTGCCAGTCGAGGGCGGTCGCTAGCCCGGCGTGGAGAGGAGTGCCTTCGAGGGCTTTAAAGAGGATGCGGAGCGGTTGTTGGTGGTCTTTGTGTCCTGGGAAACCTAGGTCGGACGCTCGATAGATGAGCCACTCCACCCGCCAGTTGATGGATTGTGTCCGCCTATTCCAGGACGTCTTGTTGTCTCTCGACCGGGCCATGCCTTTCGGCATCGTGATGGCTTCGATCCCGAGGAATCGCAGTCGCCGCCGGACATGTTTGTCAAAACCATCGATCAACGCGATTGCTTCTTGCGGCCGGCCAGGTTTCTTGTAGGGTTGGGTTTGGACTGGTACATGGCGAAGCTCGTCACCGTACCAGACCTTGTGGAAAACTTTGTCCTGGTTCTGGGGCCGCAGCTCCTGCTCGCTCAGCAATTGGCGGGCCTCGACGACGTCTTTTTCGGCTCGTTCACGGGCTCGCTCAATGGATGAGAGAAAGTTGAAGTCGTGGTCAATCCCAGCGGGAGTTTTGAGCTGATTCAAGGGCATGAAAGCCCTGGGGTTTCGCTGGCCATCACAGTCGGCCCGGGCCTTGTGTTTCTGGATGCACGGCAGCGAGCAAGTACGGGCGTTGCATCGTGGACACTTGTACTTTGGCGGTTCGGTGTGACAGATGCTGCACAGAGTGCTGAGGACCGTCTCAGACATGATGAGTTTGCCCACTGTTTCCCAATCCGGCGGATTTGGTGTATGCAATTGGTAATGTCGGTTGTATCAGAGGTGCTCGTATTTGGATGCGACCGCTGATAAGCCTTATCACAACTTTTCTGGCCCAGTATTTCTGGAGTATTTCTGGCCAGTCGGAGGGCTTCCTTTTGAATTAATAGTGGGCCAGTTCGTCCACAAAAAACCCAACCCCACCGCGGGACAATATCCCCTCGATTGATGTTTCCTGCACAGAACTTCGGTGGAGGTCCACGGGATGGAGAAGGTACTAGAGTGAGCACTAATAACTTCAAGAGTGGTTTTGTGGGGCCGATGAATGCAAGTAGAATTGCAAAAGACAAGAGAGATAAGATGAGACTCGGATGATCCGAGTCGCTACTATAGCTGCTATGGTTTACCTGACCATGAGTCCATGACCATCCGAGTCTACTAAGGTCTGGCATCTTGTCTCTCTTGTCCCTTGCCACTATACTCGCATTTTTCGGTTCCACAGAACCACTCTTCAAGATAATAGTGCACACTCTAGCATCTTCGACATCCCGTGGACCAGCCATGGTAGTGCATCCGTCCGCTGTTCCGCCGGCATCAGCCTGCGAACTGTTACCAGGTCTAGTTTTTTTCTTACATTCTTTCCCAACTTTCCCTCACACCGTCCATTCTGTGGAGGCATTGATTCCCAAATGAGCATGACATCCGTAAAAGTCATCCTTCCCTCTCTAACCGGGCGTGGCAGCCACGAGACTCGACTGGCTGGAACCGGTTTGCTCGGCCCAGCGCCGTTCGACCCCGCGTCCATTAAGCTTGGTTTTACGTGTCTCAGCCTCCAACCATCGTGTTGTCGGGCTGCCATCACGGCACCAATCAGGAACCCCAGACATGGCTTACATGGGAGAGCAGGCCTTGTACCGCGTCTCGTGGCGCAAATGCGCGAGACTTGACCTGCAAAGCGTGACGCCCGGCTCCTACTGTGATGCTCAGCCGGGTCAGGTTTTTTTTTAGGTTCTCGTAGATCAAACAGTGAGATAAGTTTCTAGCCTAATTCAATATTCTGTTCTTCCCATCATACGACGCTCTTGTTGTTGTTATTGAGTACTTTGTCGCTTCTCTCTAAATCGCGGATGAAAATGAACCGAAGAATCGAGTGCCGTAGTGAAGGGTGCAACTATGAGGTTGTCTTCAAGACTGCCGATGGAGCGTTCGACGAACGGAGGGCCAGTGGCCGGATCCCCTTGTCTCCTCCCCACCGGCATTCCAACGCCATCCAGGTCTCACCCTATTGCAAACTTCGTATGCTCTATCTCATACCCTACATAGGCAGCCCTAGAATACTCACCTACTGGTAGATACCTGCATCCATTTCCACGGCGACGAGCGTTGCGTTTACAAGAAGCCCTCCCATGACTCGGTCTGCGCCATCCGTAAGCCACTCTAAGGGTTGAAGGTTTCGACTTGCAACCGACTGAGGATTGTACAGATGCAAGATGCCCCATTTCGGACTGCACCCAGGCTCGCGCTCAATTTCTTGAACCCAACTTTGACCCCCTGTCCAACGCCGTCCCAAAATATGCCCGCTACGACGTCTGCTCTGACCGTGCGTCTCCTGCATGGCTCATTTGTTTGCTGAAGAGGGGATGCTGACCGGGAGTAGACAAGTGCGCATTGCAACGATGCCCAGGGAGACGGGCATCTCATGGAACTACATATTGCCAATCTCGTAAGGATACTGCTCTCCAGCACATTTGTTTAGTACCTTGTTAACGACTATCAGATGCTTGTCAGGCCGAAGAATGCCCAAACTTACGTCAAGAGCAACGTAACTGTTGTGCAGAGCGTAGGCCTTACCTTTTACGGCCTGGAGGATATAAACAGCTGCTGATACTGTCAAGATCAATGCAAAACCAAAGGCTGTCGGACTATCGTCGAGGGCCAGTTTCCCTACTGTGTAATTCGTAAGTCCGACCTCCGGTAGGGTCTGACACTTGACAGACAAGGACTGTCACTTGAGAGACAATGACTAACTGTCACAGACATCAAGTGCCAGATGAACGGCTGCAACGAAGCAAAATACTTGTCAAACAAAACGAATGAGTACCTTACCTACTGCATTGACCGTGCGCCACCACGCAATCCCGTGCCGCAAACCTGTTGATTAACATTCGCAGATGCGTCATGCCCTGTACGGCAGTGTACCGCCTTCAAGGCAGACCGTTCACGCCACTGCCCGAGTCACACCTGCAGGATGCGGGACTGCTCGAAGCCGGCCAAATTCGAGCTATACTGCGAAGACCGTACGTCGTAGGATCCAATATTAGTGCCGCAAATCATGCTGACCCTCATCAGATCGCTGTGCTAGACCAAGCTGCCATAACCCTCGAGATTGGGCGTCTGAACCCAAGGATGCCGGGACTTTTTGCTCCATGCGTGAGTGCTACCATTTCAACCACAGGCAATAGCTTGTTAGCACATCATTAACATTCGCGACGATAGACACGTGCCGTTCCGAAAAATGCCAGGCATGCGTTGACGAGCTAGCTATTTTCTGCAAGACTCGTGAGTATTCCTTCCTTTCATACCCTTATGGAAAGGACTAACACACTAGCTAGACGGTTGCTCTAAACCCAAGTGCCACCAACAGACTATCGCCGAGCAGCTCTGTATCGACCGTGAGCTCCCCCATCGTACAATCTCCCCACAAAACGCCTCACTAACTCTGCCCTCCAGACTTCAAGGAGCACTACGTAACCCAAGGCAAACAGCTCCGCGCCGACCGTAAGCCACCCACAACCCTGGAACCCCCGCCCTCCCGCACCACTAACAAACCCTCTCCAGACACCGAGAAGCAACAACAACAACAACATCAACAAACCACCCCCCCTCCCCTCTCCAACCCCCAACCCGCCCCAGCCTCCTCTCTGATTCGTACCACCCGCGCTCAACAACCGACCCAGCCCCCGACCCCAGCCACCGCGGCGGCCCCGACCTAACCAAGGACGACCGGCCCGGAAGCCGCCTCCGCGACCTAGCCAGCGAGTCGACGGTGCTCGACAACGACTCCGTCCTCCACCGCAAAAGCTAGCTGTACTGGGGCCCGGCGGCGCTGGGCCAGTGGCTGCCGCCGAGGAAGAAACCGCCGAGTTTTGCGGAGGCGGAGTTGGGGCCGCCGCTGGGGGAGGAGGACTTGGGTAAGGCCTGGTATTTGTGGGGGAGGGGGAGTGGTGTCGAGGACAGGCCGGAGTTGTTTATTAACGGTCCTCATGCGGGTGATCCACCTGGTGGTGCTGGATGAGGTACGCCCCCACTTGGACCAAGAGCACATATTTATGATGGGGATGGGGAGAGCGAGGAGTGGGGTGGGGATGAGTTATGTGTGTTTTGGACTGCACGGTGAGAGAGCGGATGGAAGTCGATTTTGTGATTGGAGTCAGTCAAGTGTTCCATTATCACTAGTCATCCGCTTTACTTATCGATTCAAAATGACGCCCAATATTTTTGATTTACTCGGCCAGCCCCCGACAGGCCGGCAGCGCTCCCTCCCTTTCCTCCAACATGGCAACAACATTCTCTTAGCCCCGATTAAACCAGCCCAGCCCTCCAACCCCCTCCTCAACCATCACCCAACCCATCAAATAATCAATCCCCCGTATCAACCTCCAAATCTAGCTGCACTCCATTCGACACGCCATAGTCCCCCAGCGTGATCATATCCTTAAACGGCCGCTCCCCCTGCCGCTTCAGCATAATCTCATGCGGCTCCCGCCCCACCTTCATCGCCACCATGATCTTGAACTGGCCGACCGTGTCGCTGGGGAAGGCCGGGATTTGGGCCTTGGTGCCGAGGCGGTCGTTGACCGTCACCAGGATCATCTGCTCGCCCGGCGCGGCTGCGGGCGCGGGCGCGGCTGCCGGTGGTGGTGCTGGTGGTTTGGACTTTTTGGGTCTGGTTTGCGCGTCTCGATCGCGGTCACGGTCGCGGTCGGTTAGGCGGTTGCTGTTTCGTGGGGAGCGATCTCTCTCTCTGTCTCTGTCGCTACGACGATGGGCCCGGTCTCCGTCCCTATCCCTGTCCCTCTCTCGATCGCGGTCTCGGCTCCTGTCTCGCCTGGGCGACCGGTCTCGGTCTCGATTCCCACCCCTGTCTCTATCTCTGTCTCTTCCGGACTCGCGATCGCGCTCTCGGTCTCTCCTGGGCGAGCGATCGCGGTAGCCGCGCTGTAGGCCCCGGTCGTCGCGTCGGTCGTCTGCATCGTTGGAGCGTTTGTCCTTCCATTTGAAGCCGCCGGCGGCTTTCGGACGCCTTGGTGGCGATCGCGATCGCGACCGTCTGCGCGGGGAGTCTGGCATGTTGTGGAGGAATGTTGAAGTTTGAAGGGCCAATCGCCACCCAAACAAACGTAAACAAGGGAAGCTCAAGTTGGCGGTTGCTGGAATGCAGCGGATGATAGAATTTTAGTGGGGCAACTTAGAGCGATAAGCGCGATAGGATCGAGTTCCGTTCCATGCACTCATCTCATGCATGGCAGGGTCACAACAAAGCAAATCTTGAAACCAAATTGTATAACCTTACTCGGTAGAGTCTGCCCTCGCTGTGCTAACAATAAGTGCCCCTTAGAGGGCGCCCACAGCAACTAGCCTCCGTTCCTGCCTTTTCATCACCCGAAACTGGAGTGCGGCATGAATCACACGACCAATCCGCCCAAACGCCGTTCTCTTGCCCATCCAAACGCCAAAACCACCAGCCGGGACGCCAGAAGGTGTATCATACAGAGAAGCAAGTAAAAGATATAAATCTAGCAGAAGAGGTTGCTGCCTACTCCTTGCTGGACTTCTTCTTCTTCTTCTTCGGCTTCTCTTCCTTGGCCGGTGTCTCCTCCGCGTCGTGCTTGCGCTTCGAGCTCTTAGGCTTGACGGGCGTCTCAACCTCCTCCTCCTCGGCCTCTTGAGCCTTGGAGTCCTTCTTGCTGAGAACCTCTACCGAGCCGTCGGCGTTCACCTTGATCTGGCCCTTCTCGAACCGGCGGGCAAACTTGGAGACAGAGATGCCAACCTCCTTTGCAAGGCGCTCGTAGTCCTTCTCGGTAATCTTGGCAGGCACAGAAACCTCGGTGTCCTTGGACTTCTTGGACTTTTCCTTCTTCTCCTTTTTGTCCTTCTTGTCTTTCTTCTCCTTTTTGCTAGGAGCTTCTTGCATTTCTTCGTCTGAGTCCGCCCCAACGTCAAGCTCAGCCATTTCCTCGTCGACTTCCTCGATGAGGGGCTTCTTAGGCGCCTCGGCCTCCGCGGAAAGGCCGTCGGCGTCAATGTTGTACTTGCGGGCTTCCTTGATGTCCCACTTGGAGGGAGCGCCGAGCGGAATGCCGTTAGGGCCAACCGAGACGGTCTTGGAGAGCGGCTTGCCCTCTAGCACCCGCAGGTTGTTCTCGAGCTTAGCTCTGGCCCGGATACCCAGGCTGGCGCGCGTCTCATCGTCTGCGTCATCTTCAAACTCGGCAAGGGCATCAGTGCGAACACCAAGGGCCACCTTGGAAGCGAGTTGACGAGCAACCTTGCCCTTGTTCGCGCCAGAAGCCTGGCCGACCAGAGAAGCATGGTAGATGAGACCGTACTTGGGGGTGGCATGCTTGGTCTTGAGCGCACGGAAGAGCGCCTTCTCGGCACCGAGGATCTGGATAGTAGAACCCGGGTTCTTGGCGAGGCTGATGAGAGAGCCGGCGTGGGCGATGAGCCGAGCACCAACGAGCGCACCGACAAGCTCCGTCATGTTAGGGGAGATGGCCTTCATGCGGTTCTCAAGGTACTCGGCAAGCTGTCTCCTGTACTCGGAGTAGCTGATGACTTGCTCGGCAAGCAGCTTGATGTTCTCGAGGTCCTCAGCGCTGATCTCGGTACCCATGCTGATATCAGCAGCAGCCTTGACGGCCGTCTCGATCTCATGAGGGAGGATTTCAGACAGATCAGCCTCGCTCGCGTTGGAACGCAGGCCCAGGGTGACGATGACCTTGGCATACGACAGGTTGTCGGGCAAGATTTTGGCCAACTCGGGAAAAATGCCAGCCGTACCATTCCTTCACGCGCATGGCATATGTGTTGAGCTCCTTGTCCAAGTCGTCAAGCAGGGAAACGGCGTGCACGATCATGACATCGACCTTGTCGGGAGAGAACTTGAGTCTGTGCCGCGAGAGCGAGTGGGACAACCCCAAAGACATCTCCTGGAAGTTCTCCGGGAGCATGCCGGGGATGAGCTCAGGCAGATGCTGACGGATGGCACGAAAGAGGTCGGTTGTCGACGAATCGGAGATGGGCTTGATGTTCAACTCGGGAATCTTGACGATCGAGCTGCCGAGCTTGCTCTCGGCCACGGCCAGAGTGACCTTCTTCTCATCCTTGAATTCATTGAGGAGACCGGCCAGCTTCGGCGTGACCTTGCCCTCAATCACGCCAGCAATTTCTTCGAGCGCGGTCGCGGCGCTGTCGAACTTGGCAAACTCCTTGTACTTGATCCTGTAGGGCATTGGCACATGAACCACCGACCAGAGGGCTGTCCGCACGCGGCGGGTGGCACTTACTCCTTGACGATCTTGTCAACGGTAGATAGACGATCACTGAGGTTGTCGGAGTCCAGCAACTTCTTATCGGCCGCCTTGAAAAGGCCATAGCTGCAGGCGCGAGTTAGAAAAATGGGTGTTGACAATTGAATGCAGGAACATCCCGAGCAGAGGCGATCGCGACTTGTTTCTGCAATTGAACGAGGTACACTTACCCTGCGCTAGTTTCGGTGAGGATAAAGAGAGGCATGATGGAGGCTGGTTGATGGGTGCCCAACCGCGCTTTCTGTTGTGAGTGGAAGCGTGGGGAGACAGCTCAACTACGGCCGTGCTTGCACTTTTATCGAGGGCTTCTCAAGCAGAAAAAAAGTTAGGAGCGAAGAACAATTTTTTACCACCAGTTTGGAGTTGCAGGTGGGGCTGGTTGGTCCAAGCTCTGGTCGTGTGCATTCGGGGCAGGCAGAGGGGTGTCCCCACACTTGTCTCCAAGTTCTTGGCGCTCTAGGCGGTTGCGTATGCACGGTCCAAGCCGGCGGCCAACCAGCAATCCAACGCCGTCCTGAGCCGCATCTCGAGCTCCAACAGCCAGAGGAGCTGTCATCTACAACTTTCTCAACCTTTATCCGGCAGAGCAAAGATGGAGGGCCTTCTATTCAACGTAAACAATGGGTATGTCATACCCTCGAATATGCGCATTGTCATTGACACACGCTGACCCCTTCTCGCATTCTATAGTTACATCGAGGGCATCGTCCGCGGCTATCGCAACGGACTGCTCACCGGTACCAACTACACCAACATGACACAATGCGAGACCATTGATGGTAGCTCACCTTTTTTCTCGCATTATTCAACTTCCCGCCTCTGATAAACGTTTGCAGACCTCAAGCTCCAACTCGGTCCCGCTTACGGCGACTTCCTCGCTACTCTCCCACCCAACCCCTCCACGTCGAGCCTCGCAACCAAAACCACCGAGAAGCTCGTCTCCGAGTTTCGCTATGTCCGCGCCAACGCGGTTGGCTCGCTCGCCAAGTTCATGGACTACGTCACCTACGGCTACATGATCGACAACGTGGCGTTGCTCATCACCGGCACCCTCCACGAACGCGACACGCGCGAGCTGCTCGACCGCTGCCACCCCCTCGGCTGGTTCGAGACAATGCCCGTTCTCTGCGTGGCGACCAACATTGAGGAGCTGTACAATAGCGTGCTAATCGAGACGCCGCTCGCACCCTACTTCAAGGGCAGCCTCAGCCACCAGGACCTGGACGAGCTCAACATCGAGATCGTGCGCAACACGCTGTACAAGAACTACCTCGAGGACTTTTACGAGTTTGTCAACTCCCACCCGGACATGGCCGGCACGCCAACTGCCGAGGTCATGTCGGAGATGCTCGAGTTCGAGGCCGACCGCCGCGCCATCAACATCACGCTCAACTCGTTCGGGACGGAGCTGTCCAAGGCCGACCGCAAGAAGCTGTACCCCAGCTTCGGGAACCTGTACCCCGAGGGCACGTTGATGCTGTCGCGGGCGGATGACTTTGAGGGCGTGCGGTTGGCCGTAGAGGGCGTGTCTGACTACAAAGCCTTCTTCGAGGCGGCCGGTCTCGGTGGCGGCCCTGGCGGGCCGGGCAACATGGCTGGTGGCTCCGGGTCGGACGGCAGGAGTCTGGAGGATATGTTCTACCAGAAGGAGATGGAGATTGCCAAGGGCGCCTTCACCCGGCAATTCACGTTTGCGATTGTATATGCGTGGGTCAAATTGAGGGAGCAGGTCAGTACCCCTTCTTCCCGGTCAGTGTGATCGAATCCTCTAACATGAAACAACAGGAAATCCGCAACATCACATGGATTGCCGAGTGCATAGCACAAAACCAGAAGGAGCGCATCGGCAACTACATTAGTGTCTTCTGATGCAGCCCTTGGCTGACTGTTTAGAGATGTATTTCCTGGGAACCCTGAGCATGATTTCAATGGCGTATGGCGAAGGTCAAGCGGCGACGTGGGCGGGCAAGATGCGGGAATCTTTACCCGTTCTTGTTTATTGTGTCGGTATCGTACATAGAGAGGTTACACTTTTTGGATGTTACAAGCCCCCCCTCCCTCTCTACCCATGGGCCGCTCATTACAGTGAGATTTGGTTCTTGTATGTCGCCTCGGTGAGGCCCAACGTCTCGACCAGATGCTGCCACCTCCCGCTCCCCCGCTCCTTTCTCTCCAGGTACCGCAGCAGCCTCTGCCGCTTGTGGCACAGCATCCGCAGACTCCTCTTGTTGTTCTTATCCCTGTGCCCCTTGGGTCCCTCCAGCGCTAGAGCGAGGGCCCTGATCTTAGCAGTGAGGATGGCGATCTGCACCTCGCTGCTCCCGGTGTCGGGCCCGGCACGAACGGGCTTTGGCTGCGGCGCTTGGTAGCGTCCCGGCGGTGGCGCGGGGTTGTCGAGGGTCTCGTCCGTGACGTGGCGGCCAAACTTCTCGATGCACCGCTGGATGTTGGCGTGTCGCCGGTCCTTGGCGTTGGCGTTCTTGAGGTCGGTGATGCGCTTCAGCGCCTCGAGCGCCTTCTCGTGCTTCAAGGCGTGCTCCTCCAGCTCCAGCGCCTCCGTCGTCGGGTCCGGCGCCGAGCTTTCCTCCCCCGACAACGGCTTCGTCACCCGCCGCGCGTGCTCGATGGCCCGCTCCAGCTCCTCCTTGGTGAGCAGGTTGTTGATGATGTGGGGCGACGTCGGCAGTGGCCGGGTCTCTCCGGTGACTGGGTCCTCGGGTGAGACGGGTTCCTGGCCGGCCGTGTCGAACGACTCGACAAAAGGCGTCGTGATGCCGTGCACGGGGTCGCCCTGGCTGGCCTTGCGCTCCTTGTCGATCTCGGCGCGGCGCTCGAGATGTGCGTTCTTGCGCTGCTGAGCCTGGGCCCAGCCGTAGGGGTCCCGCTTCATCTTCTTCTTCTTCTCCCTCATCGAAATGTTGGCCGTTTGGACCAGCGGCAGCAGGCTAGGAGTCGGGGTCGGGGTCGGACGCAGGCATACTACGGAGCACTTGTCAGCTGCTTTACTTTCCCGAGGCAGTACCGGAAATGGCCAATCTCACGCGTAAGGCTTTCGCAGCCCCTGCGGGGCGGGTATCCGGGGAGGCATCGTAAATATCTCGTCTGGGTCGAACGTCACACGGTCTTCCTGGGTCTGTCCCGCCGCTCTCAACTTTCTTGGTGTTGCAGGACCCAGATTTTGGAGCGATCCACGCTAGACTAGATTAGGACTAGCCGGCATCTGCATCTTGAGGATGCCCTCTAACGGTAAAACAACGGCTAAAACTTCGTTCCTCCCCAGAAGAAAAACGTGGGCTTGGCAGCAGCAGCTGGTGACGGCCGGGTGGTTCTGGTCGCCAATTGCAAACCCTGGCGGGGCACTCCACAAAATTGAATTTGTGTGCCAAAATCGCAGAGCTCCGCCTGCTGCAGCTCGCGGCCCAGAAAAATATATCCCACTCTCGACGCCCCGAATCTTGACATCTTTCTCCCGTCGTCACGTCCACGAGAGAAACTACAGTCAAGATGGCGCCCGCAAACCTCCCCTCCATCTTCAATGCCACGAGCACCGACATTGAGCAGCTTCTCGCTGCCCAGTGCCATGTCGGCTCCAAGAAGTGCGTCGTCCCGAGACTTGGTGGTTTTTTGCCGTTGCGCGCATACTGACAGTTTGCGATAGCTTGGGCGTTAACATGCAGCGTAAATACATCCGAACGAATCATTCACCGAAAATGAGACTCTGACAGGTTTCTGCGTGTAGCCTACCTCTGGAAGACCCGTGCCGATGGTGTAAACGTTATCAACATCGGCAAGACCTGGTACGTGGGCTGTCGCGGCGTTGCGATCTAAGCGGAAATGCGACAATTGGATCACTAACAGGTGTGTCTGCAGGGAGAAGATCACCCTTGCGGCCCGTATCATCGCCGCCATCGACAACCCGAGCGATGTGTGCGTTATCTCGGCCCGTCCCTACGGCCAGCGTGCCGTCCTCAAGTTCGCCGCCCACACCGGCGCCCAGGCCATCGCCGGTCGCTTCACCCCCGGTTCCTTCACCAACTACATCACCCGTTCGTTCAAGGAGCCCCGCCTGATCATCGTCACCGACCCCCGCACCGACTCGCAGGCCATCAAGGAGGCTTCCTACGTCAACATCCCCGTGATCGCCCTCTGCGACACCGACTCGCCGACCGAGTACGTCGACGTTGCGATCCCGACTAACAACAAGGGTCGCCACTCCATCGGCTTGGTTTGGTGGATGCTGGCCCGTGAGGTCCTCCGCCTTCGCGGTACCATCTACAACCGCGAGACTCCCTGGGACGTCATGCCCGATCTGTACTTCTGTATGTCCCCCCTTCTCGTGACAATTTCATGTCGCAAGTTAACTAATTTTGCAGACCGCGACCCTGAGGCTGAGGCCGAGGAGAAGGTCGAGGAGGAGAAGGTCCCCGGCGTTGAGGAGGAGGGCCCGGTCGCCATCGAGTCCGGCTTCCCCGCTGGCGGTGCTGACTGGGAGGCTGCTCCCGCTGGCTTCCCCGCCGCCGCTACCGGCGAGTGGAGCGAGGCTCAGCCCGCCACTTGGGAGTCTGGTGCCGCCGCTGCCACCGGCCCCTCGACCGAATGGGCTGATTCCGCTCCTAAGGATACTGCCGGCTGGTAGACAAGAGAAGGCGCAAAATAAAAAGGCATTTTTCGGGGCCAGGCGTAACGGCGCAGACAAAAACCGGCCTTGCCTCATTCCCGAACCTTTCCCATTCGCAATGGCTTTCTCGTTTCGGCTCCGATACTGGCTGCAGAGCAGCGTCCCTTTGGCTTAGGTAACACATGACCCTACTAATGAGGGAAAGATATCCTCTCTGATTCTACCGGAGAGGGGGAATGCCCTGTGGGGTCATGAGAGGTGGACTTGACCGTTATCTCGCCTTGCCATAGGAATGTCTACTTCTGCCACGTTTTGAGCTTGTAAAGAGGTGTCCGTATCTTTTATAGCGGCTGGGAACTGACGAATCTGACCCCGACGAATGTCCTTGACTGCAGTTGTATGGAGAGTAAGGGATGATGTGATGTTGGCTTTCCCAAGTTACCCCTCGTAGTCAACCGTACCACGACCTGAAGACAGAGTACCAGTGATCTAGCAGATACATAGATGTCTCACACAGTGCGATGCGCGTCTACTTCTACGCATACCTGAATACATTGCAAATTCCGTAGCAGTAGATATGCTATTAGGTATCTTTACTCTGCGGATGACAATCTTGAAGATTGACATGTGGCCGAACGGAGAGGAGCCTATGTTGGGAATGAGGATCCCCTCTTGTTTCTAATGCTGATGATCATTGGGGGCTGTGTGATTGCCCTTCGGATGTTGACTGGATGATAATTAGGTACCCAGCAGTGGGCTCAGGTACGAGGTGTTCAAGGGATTTGCGTCCCAGTTGGTTGTCTGAGCTGGGTGTTGTTTACTGTTGTTATGTCGAGGCAAATGAAGGCAAAGGTGAATCTGGAAATACTGTTATGTGAGTGTTATTTACTAGTATTTTCCATATGCTAAAGCTCGAGTGTTGCTGCATTCTACGGGCACCTTTGATGATAGATGTTGCTGCTCCCCTTCATATGTCAGAACTGATGAGATACTTAAAGAAAGAGAGGCGCCACATTTCATTTTGGTTTCTTGTTACAGGACATAGAGCAAGTAATTGCGAGTTCAGAGCTTAGTAGTCATGCTCATCTAGACTGACTGAAGCATCTGTGGAAGTTGGGTTTCCGCGAACTTCTTAAATAAGGGGCCTGGAGTAATGGAGGCGAAAGGAAGGGAGGAACAAAATAGAGCACGTGTAGCAATAATTTTAACCAAGAGGTCTCAAGGAGGTGGACGCGAAGCGGGTTGGCAGGGGACTATAAACAATATTCAGTGTTGGTTTCTCACAACTCTACCGGATTCATCAGACGAGACAGATTCACTACCACCACCACCTCATGCACAGAACGCCAACATCACCAAGCAAACCAGAGATATTCATGAATAGCGATGTCACCATCTGCATTTCCTATCTATCTACTACCACACCTCGCCCGTCTCCAGCTCGGGCTCTATCCCGCCAACCTCTCACCCTCCCCGCCACGAACCCACCTCCAACAAGGTATCAATCCCCAAACACCACATACACACATATCACTCCGATCAACCACCCCAAATCTAAGCAGGCTCCCCTGTCTACATTCTTCAAAGACTAGTCTTTCCCCCCCCCCCCCCCCCACAACCCCGCCGCAAAGAAAGCACGAGCTCCTCCCTCTAGGTAAACACCCATCCCAAACCAACGCAACGGCGACCAGCCCAGGAAAAAAAGGTTCACCGGCGATAGTCATCCAAACTCCAATCCGTCCCATCAAACATCAGAAAACACACACACACACACACACACATAACTCCTTTTTGCGCCCCATTTTCCCCGAAGGGTGGAATAAAAGTAAAACTCCCACAACGCCCAGCCCGGATATCAGATAGACAAACAGACAAACAGCCAGACAGATAATAAACAGGTGTATCTAACCCCGCTGGCGGATCGCACAGCGGAAAAAGGACAAGAGTATATAGCAGAGTAGAGAAAATAGGGAAACCGTCAACGCGTGAAGGAATGGTGAATCGAGTATTAGAAAATAGGTTGCAGGTTGTAGGTAGGCAGGTGGGTAAGTTGAAAGAGATCGGGATCGCTGGCGGGTGGTATTGGTATCATATCGACGCATAAATAAATGCAAATGCAGAAAACGAGACGCCGTGATGGTTGGAACGTATAATGGCGGTAGTGGTACACAGTGTGCGTGAGCAGGCGAGGTCGTCTAATCGGAGGATGGCGGTGATGGTGGTGATGCTCGGCGTGTCAAGTAACGCGTCGAAGTCTTGATAGCGACAACCGGGCCCCAGACGGCGGATATCATGCTGACTGAATGAGGGCGTTGGCACGAGGTTGTTATGTGATGCTGCCCCCCCCTCAACCCCCATCATTTTCCCGTGACAGCTTCAACCCAAACAAAGCAAGGCACCTACTCCAAGCCCTCGCTCAACCGCCTAATCTCCTCATCCCCCAACGCGCCCATCCACAAGCACCGCTCCGTAACGCCCTCGATGGGCTGGAAGGTATACAGCATGCTGGCCTCGAGCAGGCGCAGCAGCGTCTTGACCACGCCGGCGGCGGTGCGGCAGCGCTCAAAGTTGACCAGGGGCGCGGTGGTGGGCGAGCTCGCAATCTCGCTCGGCTTCTGCGCGTTGAAGAGCAGGTCGTGCGTGTAGATGCCCACAAAGGGGATGCACCCCATGCCCGAGACGGAGGCGCCGCCGCCCTCCATCTCAGCGCGCATGTTGTAAAAGTTCCGGGTCGGCGACAGCAGCGCCTCCAGCTCCGTCAGCGTGCGTTTGTCGCCCGCGGGGACCATGGCCCACGTATTGTTCAAGCGGCTGACCTCGTTGCTAGTGAGCGCGATAGTGACTTGGCTCATGGTGGCAAAGTTGCGGTAGCGGCGGCAGTGGGCGGCGATGTGGATGAACTTGATGATGCAGCGCGCGCGCTCCTCCATGTCCTGCGTCAGCACAATCTCCGAGATGGCCCACTTGACCATGATGTTGAAGCGCGCGATGACCACCTCGACGCCGCGCGCGTCCGTGTCGCGCAGGAAGGACACCCAGCTGCGCACATGGATGCCCTTTTGCTCGGCGTTCTTCCAGCGCATCTCGATCAGTTCCTTCCAGTCGATCTCGTTGAGGGCGTCCTTCTCAACAAGAGTGAATTGCTGCGCTAGGATGTCGCTGTCGAAGGCGAGGATGAAGGGCAAGTGAACCGAGTATTTACTAAGCGGCGTATTAAGAGGCACGTTCATAGGATCGGGAATCTCGAGAGTTGGAGCGTTGCGGAGTGCCTCCTTGGTCCCGGTTGGATCTGCGGGCGAGCAAAGCGGCGGCGCCGTCGTGGTTGGTGTGGTGTCGGGCGTGGGTGGCAGTGGCTTTTCGTACACTTGATGGTCCTGGACTGTCGGGACATAGGCGGTTTCCGGGGACAATTGGAGGGCCTGCATAAGAGTGATGGTCGGGGACGGCGGCCGCGCGGCACGCGGGTCATCGGCAAGAGGATGGGCTGGCAATGTGGATATGGCAACGCCAATGTCGTCCGGCGAGAACTCGCCATCCTCGGCGTCTTGAATCAGGGCCTCTGCAGATAACTCCGAGGAGATAACACTCTCGTTATCGCTGTCGACATCCAGGAAGGATTGCTCAAAGCTGTCCCGCGCCGACTCGTTTTCTGGCATGGTGGCTCCTTGTCGAATCAGACCGATACTATCCGTCTTCTTGATAAACTCATACGAGGGATGTTGCGAGTCGTGGACGCTGCGGCCGTCTGGTGTTGACGGGTCTTCCTCAGGCCCCTGTAAGACGGACCGGCCCGTCCATTCTCGGGTTGCCGTCCGCCCATCATCGGTCAAATCGCGTTCTAGTAATGGTATCGACGAGTAAGATGCCCTTGAATCGTCCGACAAGAACGACTGCACAACACTGTGGTGCCCCTGGACACCAGCCACGTCCAACAAGCCACCCTTGGGTGTGATGGTGGAGGGTGCGGTTGAGGAGCTCGGCGGGTAAGGTTCAGACCCGATTTCGACCTCGTGGTGTTCCTTCTTCTCTTCTTTTGTGGCATCATGCTCCTCATACCCTCCCTCCCAGCTGGGAACATCCTCCATGCCCGGTGCCCCCCTGAGGTCCATCGACAATTTGAGTCCGGGCTTCCTTGTCGGGAACTTGCCCTCCAGCTTCAGCAGTGCAGATTCAACGCCCCCATCATCGTCCATGTCGTCAGGAATCTGCGCGAGCTTCTGAGCCTCGACTTCGAACGACGGTCGCATGATCGGCTTGGATGAGTGGGTGCTGAATAGAGATAGGTTTTGCTTAGGCTTCTTCTCAGCAATGGCACCTAATGAGAATGTTTCTGCCTGGCCGGGGGAGTAATCACTGGCGACAACATCAACGAAGCCGCTCGAGTCCGCAACAGCGCTACGAAGATATGAGCTGCGAATGGAGTCGCTGTATGTGGTCAGGGATGCGACGGAGCGCGACCTCCTGAGCGGGGACGGGTCCAAGTCGCCGACGTTAGTGACGGCGCGGAGATCACCGCCTGGTCTTCGCCTCAGAACTCGAAGTGGTTCGGGGGCCATAATCGGGGATGAGTCGCCGATGGACTGGCCCGAGACGGTCGTTGCATCGAAGCTGCGGACAGTCAGATGCTGGAAATCACCGCTTGTGAAAGACGAGCGGCGAATGTGTCTCCCCGAGTGATTCAAGATATACGACCGACTCGAAGATTGCCTTGTGTGCCCTCTTTCAACGCCGTCAAAGGACGGTGGGCTTGCTCCCTCGTTCAGAAAGTCGAGCGAGGGCCTGGTTTGGTCCTCCGAGTGACGATCATCTTGCCCTAGAGTACCCATATCGGGGATGAATGGAGGCAGGGGGCTGTCTGATACAGAGTCATGCGCATGGTGCTGGCCAAGTATGTACGAGGACATCCTGGGCGTCCCCAGAGCGCGTCCGGGCGGTGTGTTTGGCGGCGTTGGATCCGCCCCGTTCGGCGCGAAGGCTTCGGTAAAGGCGTCCATCGACGAGTTAGCGACCGGCAAGGCACCTGTCATGAAAGGATAGTCGTCTTGCACCGACGTGTCGTCCACGATAACGATGGATTTGCTGCCGGTAGTAATACCCATATCGCTCGTCGGTCGGGTGACTACGAAGTCCTGAGAGAACGTCGTTGGAGAGACGTGCAAGTGTGAGGCCGAGGAACCCTGCGTATCGGCACCCGTTGGTTCATCGACGGGACGGGGAGGCTCGTCTGATTTCTCAGATTGGGCCTGGGTGTCTTCTCGCACAGCCTTCTTGAAGTCCTCAGCAACCTCGGCGCCGAGCAAATCGATCCGGACGGAAGGACGACCGCGGTTTTGGCGACTTCGGGCTTGTGGTACTATTGGGGTGCCCGGGAGCCTGTTGGTGGTCGCACCCCTAGGTCCAATCGGAGAGATGTTGATAAAGGTGCCCTGAGTTGGTGATAAATTTTGCCCCTTGGTGCTCAAAGCCCGGCGCACGCTTCCCAGTAGCCTCTTCATCCCTTGGCCGGACATGGCGGATGCCACTGTATCCTCTTTCATTGGATCAACTGGGGCTGGTTGAAAGATTGTCGTATGTCTCCCATTCGCAACCTGTGGCGGAACTTCGACGAGGGCCTGGGAGGGTGGGAGAAAATCGCCGCGGACTAAGCTGCCTGCGTAGGGAAGTGCTAACAGGAATTCGGCATTCTTGTAAAGACCCTTCTCTGTCGTCGGCTGCTCGCGCAGAGAATCACTGAGGCTCACATTTCGCTTGTGAGAGGCTTGTGGGCGGGCTCTCTTGCCAACGAGTGCGCGAGGCGTGGTAGCGACCGGACCGGAATTGGTCAAGGAGCTGGGATCGGCAGGGTGCGCGGCTGGGTAGCTCGCACCAGGGCGCATAGGTCGCATGCTCTTGGTCGGAAACGAACAAGAAACCACGTCCACACTAGTGATGCTGGTCGGTGAGATGGCGCCGTTCCGTTCCGCGCGCTCACTGTCCGCGGCAATCTCGGGTGTCGCTGGACGGTCCCCCGCTACAACAGCGTCGATATTGCCAGCTCTCGCCAGGCCACCGTAGAAGCTCGAGTGGCCGCGCGGGCTAGCGGGGAATATCAGATCGTCCAGCTGAGGCGGTTCAGCTCCAGTTTCTGACCAGAACGATGGGTCAAGCTGCGAGTCGCGATTGCCCGCGATCCCCCCAGAGAAAACTGGAACATCGGGACCAAGCCTAGTGTCGAAGGCCGGTCCGTCCCAAAACTGTGCGCAGACTCTCCGCCAGCACTTCTTAAGTTCGGCCAGAATCTTGAGCGGTACTTTGGGTGTTTTCGGGTCCGGCAGGAACTCGGCGAGAAGGTCGTTTAACAGACCGCAAAACGTGACACGTAGGTTGTAGTCGACCAGGAAGTCGTCCATAAAATAGTTGAGAATCCAATGGCGCAGGGCGACAAAGGTGCGGACCCTGACCACCTGGCCGACCTCATCGGCCCTGGTCAGTGCCCAGCGAAGTCGGGCAAAGAGCATGCGGAGGAGATCGGATGGTTCGAGGAAGGAGCGGTAGGTGAGAAAGAAGTCGGAGAGGAGTTCGTAATCGACGAAAGTGGGAGATGTGATCTCGGCGACCAAGCGGGGTGGGGTGGCTGCAGTGACGGAGCCGGCATTTGAGTACCGCACAATGGCGCGGTCGTCGCAGGCGGGTTTGAAGGTCAAGGTGTCGAACATGGGAGGCTCGATGACGAGGTGGGTCGACATGTACGTGGCTCGCGGTCGGTGGGAGAGGCGAGCTGGTGTATGGTTGGGGAAATGGTAGGAATCGGCCGAAGGGGATAGCATCCCTGACACGCGAAAGCAACTCGCGTTCCTGGAGTTGCTCGAGGTTCCATCTAAGGGGGTGAGGCGGAGGAACGAAGTGCTACTGGACCGGATTTCCTCGGTCGGGGCATATGAGGAGCCTCGAATGAATGGCGTCCCTCGGATGCTGAACCTGGGCGTGCCTATCCTCCACGACGGGATGGCCACCTCCAGTGATGGCGGTTGATGCAAGTCCATCTCGTCCACAGTCCTCGGCCTCTGGTCCTCGCCCGGTTGCGTAATAACCACCTTGAACCCCCCCGGCTCGGATTCTCGTGCGATGCTCGTATCTGGCAAGGTCGAATCTGACATGGCGCGGCGGTGCTTTTGGCGGGGTTTCAACAGCTTGTCGCCGCCGTTTCTAAGGCCGGGGCTGGGCGAAGACGATGGAGGGTGCGATGGTGTCCAGTCGCGGAGGGGTAGCTGGGGGTGGGCGTCGAGACCCAGGCGTTGTTCCGGAGCTATGGCCTCTAGTCCGGCGGTACTCGGCGGTGTCATGGGAAAAACAAAAGGTGGCTGAGGATACCGCTGGTTTGCGGGGCGAACGGTCGGCCTACATAGATTGTCAGAGCTACCCCATTTGGCCGGCTTCAACGCGATGACTGGAAGGGTGCCAGGCTGCAAATCCGAGTCCATGTTTGCCCTACCTCAAATAAATGCGGCCATTGTTGCCAACGTTGGCCACGGCGAATTGCCTCCCCTCGCGACCGGCCGAGCCCCCGTCGGGGGTGATGTCCCACTTGTCCCCATCCCGGCTGCCCTTTTTCGTCCGCCGCCCGGCAAGGTTCTCTTCGTGTGACGCGCGCTCGGTCAGGGGCAATAGCGGTTTTGGTTGCGAACCCGCAGAAACCCAAAGCTTCGTTGTCTTTGCCAACCCAAGACCTGCTGCCGCGCGACCCGACTTCGCCCGCTTGTTGTCATTCCCTGGCCTTGGCGGGTTCTGGATAAGGAGCCGCTCGGAGGATGCTGTAGCCCGAAACGGGAGGTCCTTGGCCGGTGGTTGTTGCTGTTTTTGGTGTTGTTGAAGTGGTCGTGTCGACGGCCCCGTCGCCACAGACGACGGCACTAATTCGGGGCCCATGACGCGGAACGGCCAGCCCTGTGTTGTCGAGCTCTAGCTAGGTAGGTAGCTGCTATGGCCCGGTCCTGCTGCTCCTACTGCCAGTGGCGAACGCCGTGTCTGAAATCGAAGGCATTGAAGGTCAACATGGGCACATTGTTGGCCTTGTTTCGGTTGGGATTGTGTGGTGAGGAAGTTGGGGAGACACGAGGAGACGAGCAAGGGCACGACAATCTGCAGCGATGGACTTTCCCGAACCGGGTTTGGCTTGTGTTTACCCAGACCTGCACGGGAGAGCAGAGAGGGGGAAACGGCCGAGCAAAAGAGGGAAAAGGGGATAGCGTGGTTGGAGAGAGTCACACATACGGTCTGGCGCCATGAAGTGGTTGCAAACACGCAAGAAGCAAAAAGACCAAAGAAAAAAAAAACGATGTCGCTGGTGGTCTGTTTGCTGGTCAATCAGAAGGCGAGGGAGTGCAACCGAGACACCAGGCTCTGCTAGTGCAGCTTTGAATCTGAGAACAGAGAGGTCGAGTGCAGGTCTTCGAACGGGAGAGCAACCATTCGATCGGCGGGGTGGGGAAGCAGGGGAATCAAAGGGCTGCTGTGGTGCTGCCGCTGGTTCCAAGGTACCCTTGCTCGAGTCCGGCCACCACAGAGCAGGGTGGAAAGGGCTTGGCAGGGTCGCCGGCCACCGCGTGATAAGGCCCCGGGTGGGAAATTGAAGAGTGGGGTTCAGTGCAAGTTGGGACGGCTTGGACGGGACGCGAGGGCCAGGGTCAACCGCAGGCGGAAGCCATCCGAAGTTTGAGCTCTCTTTCTCTCCTTTTTTTGCAAAGCCATCAGAGAACTCGTGATGGCTGACCAAGAGCCAAAATCATCCACATTCCCCGATGGGGGTCAGCCGAGTCGCCCACCTCTGTTTGTCATGGTTACATTCCGGCAGCTCCCCCATGGATGAGATAACGACCATCTGGGCGCAAAAAAAATACCTACCTGGTAACTCCCTCAACTGACGACCCGGAAGCTGTGCTGTGGCCCAGCGCAAGCGAGGAGGAAAAGGAGCAGGAAACTGCAAGGGAGCACACAAATCTGCATCTTTGCGCGAAAAGTACCGTGCACACGGTTCGGCCAAGCTTAGCGTGCATGTGAGAGAGAGGCACAGAGAGGGTTTGCCAGGCCCACAGCTCCAATGCTTGCCGAACCAAACACAACCTGGAAACCCGTGGAGACTCGATCTGACATCGTCACGATCGAGTATCTGTCGCTTCTTCCGTGTCACAGGATCTCTTTTTGCCTGGCAATAATACAATAATGGGGTCTGTTAATATGCGCTGCCAGAGATGCAGGCCACACAATTTGCCCTTTCGCTGGCCGTTGCCGGGAACCAAGCCGCACCACTTTGGCCTGTAACGCGCTTGTTGGAGTGCCGTCGGTGCTTGGCCACACGTGGGTCGACCTTGCCGGGTGTGGAGTTCCTGGTTCACGCGATTCCAGTCCTGAAAGAACCCTGGTCGTGGCTTCACGGAACAGCTTCCGGTCTCGCTAGCCTGGCCTTCATTTCCCAGACGGCCGGATTTGATGGAGCTGAGCGATGTTGGGACGAAATCTTCAGTTGAAAATAGCGATGCAGGGTTGGAGCTGCCAGCCACAAGGCACAAGGCAGACTCGTCAACGCTAATCATTGGTTTCGAAGCCCTCAGCTGGCGGGGATACGGCTCAGGCGTTGAACGGCCCGTACTGTGCGCACGGTAACGTTGGACGCAGCCGCACCATCAGATGGTTAATTGAACTCATAACTCGCTCCTGTGCTGGCGTCAGCTGGACCAAGAACTCCAAGGTCAACAAGGTTGGTTGCATTGTCAGGCAGCCTGGCCGCATCGATGGGGAGATCGGTCAGTGGAGCCATTCTCATTTCAGGGACTCGGACAGCTCCAGACTGGGAGAATTGCTGGACCAAGCATTGACCAACCCCCACGTCACCCGTTCCTCCGGGTGTGGCGTCCCTGGCCGCAGGAACCCCGAACCGGTCAAGTGACGTCGTTCGCATCCCGAAGCGGTGGGCTCTTGTGTTGTGCGTCTTGACTGTCTAAACCCCGTCCGCGTTGCACGACAGACGGCAGAGCAAGGCTGCAACACGACTGCGAGGAAGGTTGGCTAACCAGTGAGTTAACGACCTAATTAGCAAGCGTATCCAGACGAGTCATGTTCCCGAACAGAAAAGCCAAGCCCCAACACAATGCCCTCTCACTTCATCAAATTGCTTCCGTGCCCGCTCTAGTTAGGTACATGTATGTACACAGTCTCTCCCTCTCGCCCGGCCAATTCCGAGACCGTTGCTTCCTTCCCCGTTCCTGATCGTCCCCAATCTCAACGCTCTCGTCCCCTGCGCCTCGCCTCTGTCCGTCATGCAAAACGAGGCGGTCGATCGCCCAAACGGCTGTCTTCCGGCACGAGATTTCGCCGAATGGTGATCGACGGGTTGGCTTAGCAACTGCCAAATCTAGGCGGGTTGGTCAATGAGTTACCGCCATGAGCGAGTTTAGCAACGCTGATGATGGGCCGCTGGTGGCGGGCAGCTCGATGTCTTTCCCCGTGCCATGTCTCGAAGTTATCGAGGGGCTTGCTGACTGCTGTGCTGCAGTGGCTTTGGACCCCTTTTTACCTAACTATGTCCGACTGCGCAAATCGGCGAATGAATGAACAATGGGGGTCAACATTATGCATAACCATTCCCCGAAGACCCTAGCTCCTCCCCCTCAAATCCCACCACACACCTCCCAACCACCAATTGACTTGCACAAGCACCCGCAGAGCTCCGCCCCAAAAAACCACCCGAACCTCCCTCCAACGCTTCAACAAACCTCCCGAGCCTCCCAGCTCGCAAAAATCTCCCATTTCACCAACCCCGAAACAGAACCAGCAAGTAACCCACCCCCGATTGCGTCATGCAGCCCGCCGACCGTCCGCCAGAACCAGAACATAACCCGAACCTGCATATGCAAACCCGTGGGGGCGGGGGAAGTGGGGGAATGCAGCAACTGCACTACCCAAACT